GAAAAACTGTTATTCCCTTTTACCCATATTCTTGCTTTAAAGCTTGTGATTTTCAAAGCTATAATAATTCGGAGGGAAGGGGGGTCATATCCACCACTCGAAGGGGGGTCCCTGCCTTCATCGGGAAACACCTGTCTTTCAAACCAAGACAGGTGGAAACCGTCTGTGAACAGAGCGTAACATGTTTCTTCTGCTGGTGGTTGGTTGTACCTTCCTCAGCCCGGGTTACTTGTTCTTGGTCCTCTTCATCAACAAGACCAAAGTTTTCTCCTTCAGGCCAATTTSTAATTATTTCCTGGATCCCAGGGCAATTTGGGTTTCCAATATGGGCAGGCTGTGTGTGTGTAATAGGGTCATCCACTTGCTCCATGGGGTATTGTTTGCGTGGCGAGTAGAGGAGACCTTTCCTTTAGACATCCACCCCAGCACTGGTAGTCGGGGTGCCAGGAGGAGTTGGGCTTCTGTCCCAATCACCTCTGAAGCAGCTTGGACTCCCTCATAGGCTGCCAAGATCTCCTTCTCTGTTGGGGTGTAGTTGGCCTCAGACCCTCGGTAGCTTCGGCTCCAGAATCCCAGTGGCCGGCCTCGAGTCTCACCAGACACCTTTTGCCAGAGGCTCCAGGACAGACCATTGCTCCCAGCTGCAGAGTAGAGCACGTTCTTCACCTCTGGTCCTGTCCTGACAGGGCTGAGAGCTGCTGCATGAGCGATTTCCTGCTTGATCTGGGCAAAGGCTTGCTGCTGTTCAGGGCCGCAGTGGAAATCGTTCTTCTTGCGGGTCACCAGGTAGAGGGGGCCCACGATCTGGCTGTATTCDGGGATGTGCATCCTCCAAAAGCCAATGGCGCCTAAGAATGCCTGCGTTTCCTTCTTGCTGGTCAGTGGAGACATCCATGTGATCTTGCTGAAGCTCTCAGTGAGACTTGCCACTTTACCCCCAGGAACTGGATTCCTCGGGCAGGTTCCTTCACTTTGTTCCTTTTTATGGCAAAGCCAGCTTCCAGGAGGATCTGGATGATCTTTTCTCCTTTCTCAAATACTTCCATTGCCATGTCCCCCCACACAATGATGTCATCRATATACTGAAGATGTTCCGGAGCCTCACCCTTTTCCAKYRCAGCCTGGATCARCCCATGGCAGATGGTGGGGCTGTGCTTCCACCCCTGGGGCAGCCGGTTCCAGGTGTACTGCACACCCCTCCAGGTGAAAGCAAACTGAGGCCTGCACTCTGCTGCCAGAGGAATGGAGACACGTTGTCGATGTCAGTGGTGGTGCCATTTTGCAGCTTTGGACTCCAGCTCATATTGGAGCTCCAGCATGTCCAGCACGGCAACGCTCAGCGGTGCAGTAACCTCATTTAAGCCACAATAGTCCACAGTCAATCTCCACTCTCCTTCAGACTTGGGCAAAGGCCAGATGGGGCTGTTGAAGGGTGAGTGGGCCTTGCTGACCACCCCTTGGCTCTCCAGCTCTCGGATCATCTTATGGGTGGGGATCACGGTGTCTCCAACCACCCTGACACTGCCGGCTCCTGGAGGGCAGCAGGCACAGCCAGAGGGACCGGAGGATGGGTCAGCCGGCTGCCGGCTGCAGCTAAACCGGACAACAAGACTAAGCCAATAGCAGCTGATGGGTCAGCAGACAGCCCGGTCACTCTGGCTGCAGCTAAACCGGACAGCGAGCCTAAGCCAGTAGCAGTTGCCCCTGTCCAGAGAAGGAAACACAAAACCAAATCCATTCATCCATGGATAATGATGGGCAGCCAGGAACCTCACAGCCAGCAGGGGAACCTGAACCAGAAATCATCGTTGAGTGTCTGTCTGTGGAAAATCTTCTCCATGACGTTTCTTCGTGGCCTAAGAAAGGATTACACCCGACAGCCTAATGAATTGATATTGAGCTGGCTGGTCCACATCTGGGACACCGCTGTTTGCTGAATGCCACCGCCACTATATACAGTGAGATTGTTTATATATATGTAGTTATGGCAATGCATAGATGAGTAGAGTTATGGATATGAGTGTTTGCAACTGAGATATGTTAATTTAGGCATTAATCAAAAATGGTATGGGATAACAGGTGGAATGTCTTGGGGATGTCTTTTAATCCCATCCCATCTTTGGACTTTTAGTTGTTGGTTTTTGTTCGCTTGTTTGTTTTTGTTTTGTGTCCAAAATAGTCCCTATTCTCCCCCTACCCCACTCCTTGGTCCGGGGGTATCGTGATAGTCAACAGCCAGCTGAGATTTCCTGTGAGGGTTGGAGGCTGAGGGGCAGGTCTCTCTCAGTGAGGAAGACTGGGTTCTGGAGGCACCCCTGGGGATCTGCTCTCACCAGATACAGTTGCTGCTCGGTTTGTGCCCATTTTTCTGTCCCTTTTCCTTTTGGCACCGTGACTGGAGCCTACCGGTTTCCTTTCCCTACTTCTGGGGAGCCTAAGGCCAGTGCCTGCCGCGCCAAGCACCAGGAACACCCTGTTCCCTGCCGGGGGGGATTGTCCTGGGGCACAGCCTGACTCCAGAAACAGCCATCGCTCGTTAGCTGCCCAGGGAGCCATCTCCTGCCACAGCTGTGGAGTTTCTGCACCGCTTGCTCACTCCCCTGGGTGAGCCAACCCCTGCTGCCCCAGCTGCTAGTGCGAGGTTAAACTGGAGGCCCCACCCGCTATCCAGCTGCCTGCCATCACAGCTAAGGGAGAGTGGCGGATGAACCCCCCCCGCTACAGCGCCCCCTAGGGGTGGGGAGGAATCACTGCCTCATGCCACAGTGCTTCCTACCGGCAGAGAGAAATCACTGCACCTGCCCTGCCCAGTCCAGGATCCACCAGCGCCCCCTGCTGGCCGTGACCATCACTGCAGCAAGGGGAGGGTGTGGGATAGCCCAGAGGGGGTTGGCACTCGAGCTGGCACTGGGTTTGTGGATACGTTTGGAGTTGCTGCCATGGGTACTGTGTGTTCGCCTTGTCATACACACACAGGTAAAGAACTGTCATTCCTGTTCCTGTACGTTTGCCTGATAACCCCTGATCTCAAAGTTATAATATTTCCGAGGCAAGGGGGATCATATTCTCCACTCCAAGGACACTCCCCAACTTCCTTGGCAGACACCTGTCTTTCAAACCAAGACACCTGGGGCTTGCAGATTTAACAAAGACCTCTGAGCATTTCTTGCACCAATAACAGCACTGAGCCCTCAGAGTCCTGGCCCAGAAGGCCGCGGAGACTTCAGGAGAACTGTGGGGTGCTTTGGAAAGCGACTCGACACCAGCCAGGGATGGTCTGGGTTCCTGCGAGCTGTAGCAGGGGCTGTTCTCTCGTCCAGGAGCCAGGAAATGGGCTTTGGCACAGAAGTTAATGGTGCTCACCCCACCCGCTGTGAGCGCGGTGTGAGACCACAAAGGGGGCACTGGCTGTCCCCGAGCCGGGCGCTGAAATACCAGACTGTTCTGATGGGGCGAGGAGCTGTGCAGGGGAAAGGAACCTGAGCTTTAAATCCAGCCCCATTCCCCAACACCCCGATGGCGGGGGAAGAGCAGCTGAGCCCTGGC